GGTCCGCCGCACACAACGGAAGCGAGAATCTGAGTTTAGGAGATTTCGTACCTTCGCGGGCTTGTCGGCGGTGTCGGCCCGAGGATTGAGGGAGATAAGCATATAATTAGTTATAGTTATCCTTAATTAATTATATTTATTTATAATTAATTAAAATAATTAATTATATTTAATAAAATTAATTAGAAATGACTAATTATAATTAAATTTAATTAATTATAATTAATTCATATTAATTAATTTTAATAAATGATAATTAATTAATAATAATTAATAATAATTATTAGTTAAATTTAATTCTAATTAAAATTAGTCATAATTAATTAAAACTAATTATAACTATTTAATTAAAATTAAATATTATTAATTGTGATAAACATAATTAGTTAAAATAATTATAATTAAAATTATTTTTAATTAAAATTAATTAAACACCCCTCCCTCGCTTCTCTGTGGTTTGGGAGCTTTCGGGATTTGGCTGAAACAGAGCGTGAAAGGGAGGGATCTACCTTCACAGCCGACAAGCTCTTGTGGTTGCTTCTGATCGGGCACAAAAAGGGCAAGGGAGGTGTTGGCTAAGGGATTTGGCTGGAGAGGTGTGGGAGAGCTCTCGGTTTGGGGATTGGATTGCAGGAGCGGGGTCGGTCGGCTAGGGTGGAATCGGAAGCAGCGATCGGAGGTCTCGGCTTGGAGAGGAGGTATGAGAAAGGAGCTCTCTCCCTCTCTCTCTATCTCTCTCTCTGCTTGCAGTTACGATGCGATCGAGCAAGGATCGGAAGGTAGAAGCTCGGGCGCCGGCTCTATCGAGGTCGGATGGAGCTCGGGAAGGCCATGGGTGAAGACCAACGGTTTGGAGAGGGAGGAGCTTGGGAGGAAGAGATGCGGGAAGAAGGAGATCGTGGAAAGTCTGGCTTTGGGTTTTCGATCGGGAGCTTCCGGTCGGCTTAGAGGCAGAGGAGGTCGAATGCAAGGATTCGTGGATTTCGGGAGGAGAAGCAGAGAGCCGAATGCTCTGTTTCGCTTGGTATTTAACGACGCCAAAAGAGCTGCGATCGAGGCCGGTTTCGCGCAGGTATTACGGAGAAATGAATGAACCGGCGCCGAATCGGTACGTATACGGGATTTCTGCTGATTTCCTGGAATTTGGGTTGAAATTTGAGCTGAGTTTTGCTTCTTATCCTTAGGTTAACATTTTCGAGATTTTCTTTAAAATCAGTCTCCTATTATTCATTTTGCACTAATTTCTCTTTTGTTTCTTCTTTGATTTGTGTTTAGAAAAAAAAAAAGATATAATCACTTGTATATTCTTTATTTAGGTGAATCAAAACATCATTTGATAGTGTGAAATCCTTTTATGTACTTTCTTTCAAACCAATCTTTGAGTATGTAACAATCTTTGAATATGTAATAATTTTTGATAGGGTGGCTAATTACCTTGCGATATGGGCAATAATTGGGGTTGTCAGTTTGATTTGCCTCTTTCGGGCTTTTGGATTCTGTCAATTCAAAACCCATGTAAGTGCTTATCAGAATTATTCAACTACACTTTTCTTCTTGAAGGAATATTCTTTATTCATATTTTCCTTAAAGGATGGGAGTATTCAATTATTGGTTCCTGCCATTTGTTTTGAATGCTCCCCTGTGCTAGGAATCAAGCCTTATTATTTCCTCCCAACACTGATCTTGATTGAGGATTGAAGTTGATTAATTGTTTTCCTGTCATATTCATAAACATGTTATCTTCCCTCATTAATGTTATAAGCTACTTGCTTTCCCTTGTCAACTTTGAAAGAGGAAGTAGAGTAGGATTCACCACCCTTTCTAGTATTCATAACTTTGCCTTCTTTAAATTGTCCTAAGTGGCCTCAAACTTGGACATGTTTTTGCCATGTTGTCCAGTAGTTGTTGAAATATAGTAGTGTAATGTATAAAAATGGTAGCATCTCATCGTTGATGTTTTCTATTATAAGTTGAATAATATGCCCTTTTCTAGTTGTTGCTTATATTTTATGCTCGAATTGCTCCAAAGAGTTATATAGTTGGTCACTGATAGGTTCCTTCTTCCCTTCTCTAAGGCGAGGTCGACAATGGTGGTCTTTTAAATTGTGCTGGTTAATGTTTTCACAAATGTAGTTTCTAATTTCTGCAAATATTTTCACAGAATCATCATGGAGTTCTGCATGCTATTCAAATGCAATAAAGGTCACATGACTAACGAACTAGCCAACGAGCATAACATCAACACCACTAGTATTGTTACAAGTTGCTTTGAACTGAACAAAGTGCTATTTAGGGTTATCATTGTCGTTGAATGTATAACACTTTTTGTACCACAGTTAACCATGCTCAAATAGGTACGAGAGACCCTTTTCCACTAACTTCTCTGCTTGTTCTGAAGTTATAGTGGCTTTAGTTTTCTCATTAATGAGTTTCGAGCCCACCACGGGCTCATATATGCTTCCTCACCTTCTGACTCTGGAGCACTCTGCACTTAGGAAGCTTGGCGTACTAGGTTGGTTGGCATAGCGAGAGTGCCGCATATGGCTTGTTGGTAATGGGAGGGGCATGAGCAGGGCTGTAGCAATGTTATTCTATATCATCTGCATCATCGTGCCCCTTTGAATATTTATCTCAGTCATATTAGTGTTCAACTGAGATTTTTTTTTTCCTTCGCTTTAATTTAGTGTTATATTTACTCCTATGCATATACTAGTTCCTCTTCTTGATCATTTCTTTCATTTTACCTTATTTTCTTCTTTGTTTCATGCACCGAGCTTCTCTTCGTCTCCTCCATTTTTTCTTCTTCTTCTCTTCATCTTTTCTTTCATTTTTTTTTCTTTCCTTCTCTTCTACCCTTATTTCCTTACCTAATTAAGCTATTCGAACACCACATTTTCGCTTATATCTATATCATGGGATTAATAAGGGATAAGGATGAGTAGAATAAAAATAAGGTTAGGTTATTATTAATATAATTTATTAATTAATAATTTATTAATTATATAAGTAAATAGTCTTATAGATTATACCTACCATCAATTTGTCAATTTACCCTTCCATGACATGGAATTTTGGAAAAATTTTAATTTTGCTATGGCAGATTAGTTGCTGCTACAGTCAAAGCCTAGCAGTCGAGCTCGTTGAACCTTCTGCTAGGGCTCACAAGTTCCCCAATGGCAAAAAAATTGAGTTGTGAATCATAGGTTGCACTTGATAGGGCATAAAATCTTTTTAAACTAAGGTCAACTTAAATTCATCTCAAGTCTATAAGATTTTCTTGATGATGCAACCCAAGATTGTGGGTAATGATAGTTTGATTAGGTTGGGTTGACTGTCTCCTTTGACTATGTAGACCATGATCCATGATAACTTGGGATGACAAGACAATGGAATCTTGATTGGATTCGTTATCATTTTTCCACCATCTAGTTTAAGCTAAGGACGGTGCATTTTTTCAATCTAAAATCATTGTTCTAATTTACATTAAACATTTATCCTCTAACAACCATCCTAAATCAAAAGTTCTCTCTACCATTGGGAGGAATAATTAACTATAGAGGCTTGCGCCAATGAGAAACCTAAAATTAGATTTTGAAATCCTTGCAAAATTCGAGTAAAATTGATGGGGACATCAGAGCAGGGAACGTATATTTGAAGCGTGGCTGTCGATCTACGGCCACGATTGCGTCGATGTATTTTGAGTTATTTAATGTATTTGTTTTATTATGTTATTTGTTATTTATGTTATATTTGTTTTTTTTTTCTGTTTTTACCCCCTTAAGGGAAGTCGTATGTAAGCCCTAAGGGCAATGTCATCTTTTATCTTTGAGTCCTTTTTTAACGAGGCTATTTATAGCCCTTAGATTCATATAAAGTTAATGAATGAATGATCAAAAAAAAATTTCATTGCTTAAGTTCTTGTGAGATCTTGAGAGTTTTTGAGCGGTGAATCCCTAGGAGAGGGAATTTGGATCACCCACCAACCTTGGAGACGGCCGGGTTCGTGGTTCTTCTTCTTTATCTCGTTGTCACCCTTTCTTCATCCCATAGCCGACGGCTAAGGGTTCTCCTGGACCCCTAAGCCGCCGGCTATCTAGCCCCACGATCACCCGCCGCCTAGGTCCCCCACTCCATCCCCTCCCCACGGCCAAACCCACCCACTGTCGGCCACCTTGGCTTCTTTCCGCTCCCTACGTGCCACCTCGCCTTTCCTAAATTAGATTTCATGATTTTGGTAACTCTATTTATGATTAAATTCAAATTTATTTGAATTTGAAATAGTTGCCTAATTTATGAAATCCTATTTTAGGAAACCTACTAAATCCCTTCATATTTAAATTATAAATTAAGATGGGAAGAGATATTTCTTTTCAAACTTAATTCAATAATTTAAGTAAGCATTAAAGACCTCATTAAACTCCTCCCCTCGATCCAAGTTCAAATTCCCTCTTGATTACCTCTCATAAGCATCCACTCTTAATTTGGGAAAATTTAATTTCAAATTCAAACTTATTCGAATTTGGAATCCTTTCCTAATTTAGGAAACATATTTTAGGAAAGTTAATTAAACCCCGTTTTGAATTTCAAATTAAAGGTTCCTAAATCTCAAATTAAGTAACCCAAATCCCTCCCCAAAATTGCTCCCTATCTCATTATAGCCGCCGGCCCCTCTCTCTTACCCGCCCCCTATCTTGCTCCCAATCCCCTCTCTCCTTGCCATTAATGCTCCCTCTCTCTTTGAAATAATTTCAAATTTCAAACCCCTAAATCCTCCACACTCAAATCTGAAATTCAAACTTCAGATTTTGATTATTCTCCTCCTCTCACCTAACCCTAATGCCAACATGTGGCTCCCCGCCTATGGCCGACCATCTCTTCCCCTCTTTCCCTTTGGAATTTGCAAGATGAGTTCCTCTCTCCATAGGAACCTTCAAGGAAGTAGCAACCATCGTCTTCAACACATCAAGTCTTGAGAGAATTTCTTCCTCTCTAGTTGAGATTTCAAGGAATATAACGACGATAGCCTTCAACAGCTCAACTCTTGAGAGAAACGTCTCTCTCTAGAGGTAAACCACGACAAGGGTGGACTTCTTCCCCTTTTAATTATTTTCCTAATCCCCTAATCTTGTAGGTGATGACGACTTACAATGAGCCGTGCTTCACCTTTGCCTAAGTTTAGTAAACATAGGGTTTTGACCGTTGCCCAAAACCTAGTAAACGTAGGATTGAGTGTACTTTCGATGCTTCTAATCTATTGTTAGATTAGAGATTTTGTTGAAAGCTATTCCATTTGCATGTTGTTGAATCTCGTTGTTGTTTTGATACTTCAAGCGCTTATTGTGCAACTTGGCCTAAACGAAAGTAACCGCTCTTACATTTTATTTTGTCATTTTAATTTGCTAATAGTTCTAATCATAATTGTTTTTATCAAGAAATAGTGCGAGTTCTTTTCATATCACTTTAAGCATTGTAGTCCTACATCAAAAATCTTTGGGCAGTATCTTATCTGTTAATATAATTTGACTTTTGAGAAGTTGTCCTAGAATCCCAAAACTCTCTCAGCATTTGACCTAGTATCTTGCTCCCAGCGTGCATTCACACACATAGTATGATGGGGACATCAGATCAGCGTGCAAGGTTTATCAGTGACGTATTCGCCGATCTACGGCCACGATCGAGTCCTTGTATTTCTGAGTCATGATTGTATTTTATTTTATTTATGCATTTTCTTATTTGCTTAGGTGTCGTTATTATTTCCCTTTGTACCCCTTTCATGGGAGTGGTCGCATGTAAGCCCAAAGGGCAAGTTGGTCTTTTATTTTCTTGAGTCTTTGTACCAAGAAAAGAAGAAAAAAAGAAAGAAATAGATTGATGCTGCATTATGCTGATAGATAGACTTTGCTAGGCCTGCCTTCTCAGTATTGAGAGGTACTATGGTAATTTTCATGTTACATAATTCTAGAATGAAAAGCTAAACGTCTCAGACCGGGGTTGAATTGCAAACAAATTAAAAGTAGGGGCACATGGGAGTTTTTGGGGTCGGGTGGATAGTTGGTTCAGTTTGGGGTTTGGAAGAATTTATTGGTTCAGAGTTGTCCCTAGTTTCCTTGTTCGATGGATGAAGAAATAAAAAAGCCCCGGCAAAAGGTTGCTACCTTTTTCTTAGGCATAGTTAAAGTAAATTGAACTTATGCTGAATTTGTTACTATGTATCTTTATGAAGATATTATAAATGTTGAAGAAGTTCACTAATTTAGCACTGTTTAAGTTATGTACAAGTACAATTGGTTTTTTATTTATTTCATTTTTAAATTTCAATTAAACATCAGTAATATTCAATATTTTTTTGCATCAGCTCAACAGAATCTCATGTAGTGTCAGCTTTCATCTATATCTTAATTTTTTCGTAAGTTTAAAATACAAAAATCTTGACTTCCCATACTTGACTGCTCAGAGAACAGACCGTTGTTACCCTTCTGAAGCTCGGTGCTTACCCTGGAGCCGTTGAAGATCCGACATCTAAATGTCCTGTGGGAGAAACAGCTGCTGATTTAGCTTCAAGCAGGGGGCATAAAGGAATTGCTGCGTACTTGGCTGAAGCAGATTTGACTAGCCATCTAACTTCAATGTCCATAGCAGAAAATGTGATGGGTAGTGTCTCTGCAAGTCTTGCTGCAGAAGAAGCTATTGAATCTGCAGAAGTGCAAAATATCTGTTCCTTTGATGTTGAAAGCGAACAGATTCCTCTGAGAGAATCGCTTGCTGCTGTTAGGAATTCTGCTCTTGCTGCAGCACAAATTCATGCTGCCTTCAGGGCTCAATCATTCCGCCAACTACAGTTGACAAAAAATGCCAAAAAATCTGATATTGCTTATGAAGTTATGCTTTCTCCTCTAAATAAGAGGATTCACAAGACAGGGCACTTCAATGAGTATTTACATATTTCTGCCATTAAAATACAAAAAAAGTATCGAGGCTGGAAGAGCCGCAAGGAATTTCTAAAAATCAGGGACCGAATTGTGAAAATACAGGTCTGTTAGAGAATTTAATTTGTTTTAACTTTTTTTTTATGCATCTTGAAGCTATTACTATTAGAGATGCATTTGTAATTTATAATGAATCAATCATTTTTCTTTTCTAGTCAAGATTATTTGTAAGGGCAGGCCACTCTTGATCTTTGGTAGCCCAACAGATCATGATCACACTAATAGTTTATAAAAATGTTTAGATATGACTAAAGTTTGTAATATTCTTGCTGTGAAAGTGTCAATATTCGCACTTTGGATTTTATCATATTATATGTGGTGCAAAAAGATTTTTGCAGAAAAAAATAAAATGTCTTCCTACCCTTACAATTTAGATAAACATAGATAGAACCAACAATACTATTATAAAGAGACACATTTAGCAAGTTCAACTTGTAAACAAGAAAACAACACTTCCATAGTACATAATATAATACAACTTATAAATATTAAGAGAAGAATTACATATGGGACGGGAACCGTTGATAGAGAAGAAGATGTAGAAAACCGAGACGAAATAGAAGAAGGAGAGGGGAAAGGATGCTAGCTCACAAGCTAGAATAAAACCCACAAGTTACTTTCCAAAAATTAGTCACACACACTCAAAGTAGTGGAAACCAACCCCTATTTATAGGAAAAAAAGGGAAAAATGCATGTATTTAAAGCACCTCACATCCAACCAATAGGAGCACCTCAATACTGAAGCAAACAGGGACCGAAATAATAGCTGTTAAGGGGGAAATCAAAGCACTAAGGGGGGAAAACCGAAGCATCAACGCAGTTTAATGAGTAGGGAAAAAACTGCAACAAGATCGAAGGGATAGCTAGCTTGCCTACATCAATTCTCCCCAAGTGGAGAAATCTCATCCCCTGATGAGATAGTTTCAGAACCTCCATTATGTGTTGATTGAGCCATATCTAATTCTTGAATTAAAGCTACATACTTCATTTCGATCATCTCTTTTTCTTTTTTAAACATGGCTTGATGTAGAAGCTTTCTATTTTTATATCATTCTGCACCTAAATATATTTTCTCTTGTATTTTGTAAAGTTCATTCTGAAGTGGATTAGTAGAACATCCTTGTGGAGAAATCCATCTTGTTGTTTTAATTTCCTCTTATGGAATAGTTGGCATAGAAGACGGACTTTCTAAATTTGCAGGATCAAATTCATTGTGAGACGCCTTTACATCATGACTTGAAACTTTGGCTTTTGGATGATTGTTTACATTTTTTTAAATTTATTCTAAAGAAAAAAATGAAGACTCACAAAAAATCAAAGCTATGATACCAAATTGGTGCAAAAAGAATAAAAAGTCTTCATTCTCTTACAATTTAGACAAACCAATAATAGTATTATAAAGAGGCACATTTAACAACTTCAACTTGTAAATAAGAAAACAACACTTCCATAGGGCATAACACCATACAAGTTATAAATATTAAAAGAAGAAGGATACAAATGGGGCGGGAACCATGAATAGAGAAGAAGAGGTAGAAAACCAAGACGAAATAGAAGAGGGAAAGGGGAAAGGAGGCTAGTTTACAAGCTAGAATAAAACCCACAAGTTACATTTCAAAAATTAGTCACATACTCAAAACTGTGGAAACTGACCCCTATTTATAGGAAAAAAGAGCAATAATTGTAGGTAGTTAAAACACCTCACATCCAACCAATAGGAGCTCCTCAAAAATGCAACAAACAGGGACCGAAGGAACAACCACCAAGGGGGAAACTGAAGCATCAACATAGCTTAATGAGAAGGAAAAAAATTGCAGCAAGACCGAAGTGACAACTGGCTTGCCCAAATCAATATGTCACCAAAAAATTCATCTGATAAGCTATGGATTTTGATGTCAATTTGAGATCTCAAAGCACACAAGGATGTGGACCTGGAACTTGGGAAATTAACTCTAAGCTTATTTGAACTCAGTTTTCAACGCTCATTTTATCGTCGACCAAATTTCCATCGGCAATCCGCCTGAAATGCAAAATTTTCGGCGGAATTTCTTAATTTTTGGTGGATTTAGGCTGCTGGAAATACGAGTTTTTCCTGTAATGCACAATACAGTCAGTGTCCTATCCAAAAGGGTAGTCTATTCCAAAGTTTAATACCTTCAATGGTAACAACAATCCCAAGCAACACCTGCCACAATTTAAACCCACTTGCGGGAATACGGGAGGCATTGACGCATTACTTTTTTGGCAATTCGTCAGTAGCTTGACAACAACAACTTTTGAATAGTACACCGAGCTACCAAATGAGTTCGTAAAGACATTTACGAAATTAGAAACTTTATTTGTAAAATGAGATTCACCAGTGCGGCTGATGAGAAGACAATCATTGTCGACATCACCTTGGAGAAACGAAAGAAGGATGAGTTGATGATGAAATAAATTGTGTATGCATGTGCCCCAACAAGCAACATCCACTTCATATGTATAACAATCATATAAATGCATCATGCAAAATACATGTAACAACATATACCCGCATAGGCCCTAATGAGCATGATGCGTGCACACACATGACATTTGAGGATGCTGCGCGGGTTAAGAAATAAACTCAAATTCGAGCCCAATCCTTCTACGTGGGTAGATAGGAGTTAAGATGGCTAGAATGGTCAAACAAATACACGGTCGCAGTATTTATTTTATATATTCATATTAGGCCTTAAAGGCCTATAACAAAGAAAATCTACTAATAAAGGCATAAAGCCGACAACGAACTTGATCCTCTATCGGCAAGTAGACAGAGTCGACAAGGTTTGACCTACAAAGAAAATTACTCATGAAACTCCGATGATGGCTTTGTTGACAAAAGACCTCAATCGGAGAGGATTCTCAAATATTTAAAAATGTCTCCCAAATTCCCATGAAAATTCAAAGCTTATAATTCACCAAAACCTAAAATATTTAAAATTGAAATAAAACATCAAATACTTAAAACAAAAATACTCATCCACTTTGATGCACTGACACTTCTCCTCAAAGAGGCGTGTACTCGTCCGACACTCCTCCGATACGTGTCGGACACACCGAAAACGTGTCCGATTAAAAAATATTAAATACAAATTGGACATGCGTGTCCGACATGCATATCTCAAATATTTTATGAATTTTTTTAAATACAATTTCTTGTATTTGGCAGGATTTAAACTAAATTTCTTATTTCCTATCCACAACATCAAATCAACATCCGCACTTAATACCCAATCATCGAATATTCTCATTTTTATTTCTTTTTGGCAGTGAAGGTATTTTCAAATCCTCTCTTGGTGACTGATAAACGACATCGATGTCTGACTCTCCACATCTTAATACTAATCATTTTAAGCATAAATTTTAGTTAAATGACTTATTATTTTCAAATTATTTTTAAAATTATACTTATTTAATTTTTATACACTATTTTTTACTTTAAAAACTATAATACCATGTTCAACCCGTGTCCATGTCATATATTTTCAATAACTGACGTGTCCGTGTCGTGTCGTATATGTGTCTACGTGTTCGTGTTTGTGCATCATAGCTCATCCACCATCCCCAACAATTTGCCGAGGTGGATAAATCTGAAAATCACTTCATCTCACAAAAAGCAAATGTCTATTCGAGAATATTACTAGGATTCATTCTCAATCTGTCTCTTGTCAGTAAGGATTTTGCACGTGTCCTCTAACCTGTGGTTTCGTGGCTAAATGACACCACATGTTAATTATTATGATTGGGTGGTTTTACCGTTAAATGACACCATTAAATTATTGTCGTGATCAAAGCACGTATGTTTCCCAACAACAACAAATAATTGAGTAATGAATCAATAGGTTATGATCGACGGGGCACAAAACTCTTTGTTAGTTAAAATGACTTCAAATTTATCTCTTTAGACAAATATTCACCTCGGGTCTACAAGGTACCCTTGGATGAAGCAACCTATGGCTGCTGACAAGGATCCTTCTGTCAAGTTGGGTCGACTAACTCCTGCGACTAAGTAAACTAGGGGCCATGATGACCTGGGACAATGGAACCATGGGATCTTGATCGGGTCTATCATCACTCCCCTTCCATCCTCTGTAAGTACGAAGAGGTGAAGTTCTAATTTTAAATATTAAATTTTCACATACATAAACTCCGCTGCTACTATATGTCGGATACTACGTATCTGCTTGACGACTAGTCTTAATTGAAAGTTCTCTCTCGTTATCGGGAGGGGGATTAACTAAAGGGGCTTGCGCCTATCGGAAACCTGAACTCAGATCATAAAGCCCTCGTGAAATGAGGGTGAAATCTCTGGATATTGTCTTATTTAAAACTCAATTTGCCTTCTGAAAAATTGCCTTGGAACTTACTCGCTAAAACTCTCCTTGATGACCCGTAGAAAAAGATAAAGGGACAGCGGAGAGGCCGGGGCGCGATTTTTGGAGCCCACAACATCTTTACTGGCAAGAGATCATTTAATAATGAATATTAGCAATATTTTTAACTAGATATTTGTTCGCTGTATGCTGGGACTATTCTCAAATTTATTAACTTCGACGTGCTGGCTCTAGCAACATTAAAGCTAAGTTGTTTGGCTGCAGTTAAAACTGTTGGTTTCTTTTAAATTTCAATACATTTGAAAGTTCTAGCTACTTTTTAGAGGTTTCAAGACAACATAGAATTGTTTCAGATGCCTAGTTCTCATTTATTACCTACCCCAAAGAATTTGTATTAATATGATGGTATGCACCACCTCAACAGTAGTTTATTAGATATGTAATCTTTGTATGTAAATATCTTCTTAAGGCTGGTCATGAGAAATTCTTTTCTAGCCGAGGCGCACACCACATTTCAGCTCTTGTACTCTATGTGAATTATGAATTTTATTTCTCAGCTTCTTTATTGATACCTGGGAATATGGGAGATGGAAAGTTGTTACAAATTATAGATTTTTTCATCACTCTAAATTCTTTCCCTTTTATGTGAATTAGGAGTTTTATTTCTCAGCTGCTTTGTTAATGCGTGATAATATAGATGGAAAGTTGTTGCAATATATATATATATATATATTCGAAAATTTTTCCCTTTTATGGCTTATGTTTTATGGTTGTGTCCATGGTGGTGGCTTAATTTTCAATTACTCTTATTCTAATATTTTTTCATCTTACCATGCATGGTGTGGCTAATGAAAAAAATTTATTTTGATCTAGTGACAGAAAGAAGTCATGGTAGTTTCCTATATTTGGCCAGGAAGGATCACTAGATGCTAGCATCCCAAAATTGAGAGGAAATTTTTGAACAGGATAACATGGTTTAGCTAGTAAAAACTAGGAAGTTAGGACGACAAAGAGTAAAGCAATCCCTCCGTATTGATATGTTTTGTCATAGTTTACAATGTAGTTTAATCAATAAAGATTTCGTTATTCCATTTCAATTGTGAGCCGATTCAGTAGTTTTATGGTTCAAGTTGAATTCTGTTGACAATGCATTTCACTTTTCTCAATATGTACTTCATAGATAAAAATTATTTCCCCTGGTTATATTCCTGTACCATATAGCATAATTTATGATGATCTATCTATTGTTTGATAAAATTATATTTCCTGCCTGTATTCCTGTTCCATTGAATGAGATGTATTGCCATATAGCATAATTTATTATGATTCACCTATTGTTTGGTTAAAAAAATTATCTTTCACGTCCATAGTCCCGCTCCATTGGATGAAATGTCTTGTCGTATAGCATAATTTATGATTTTTTACCTATTTTTTGTGGCATTTCTTATTTCAGGCTCATGTGAGGGGGCATCAGGTTCGTAAACAATATAAAAAGGTGGTTTGGTCAGTTGGAATTGTAGAGAAGGTAATATTACGCTGGAGGCGTAAAGGGTCTGGTTTACGAGGTTATCGGGCTGAGAAAGCAACTGTCACTGCCGAGCAGGAGGTTGAAATGGCCGATGAATATGATTTTCTTCATGTTGGTCGGAAACAGAAAGCAGCTGGTATTGAGAAAGCCTTGGCAAGAGTCAAGTCCATGGTTCGTTGCCCAGAAGCTCGAGAGCAATATGCGAGACTGATGGCAAGTTCAAGCAAATCAAAGGTAACCTTCAAAATTTTTTATTTTTTCCTCTTCCTTTTCTTCTTCTAGTATAAGGTCACTTTTTTGGCTTGAGCATAAGTGTTTTTTGTTATAAAAACAGAAGCTAAAAGGTTTAAGTTCAATTTAATCTGCACGAAGTATACAAGAAATAGGAAAAAAGGAAATTAGAATACTCGGTGCCCTTATTTTGCTAAAACCTGGCCCATTATATAGAGGTTTATAATGGATAAAAACTGACAAGAAATGATCATTTCCTAACAAGAAAGGAAAGATGATGGAAGCAAAACAGTTAATACAGTGAGAGTAAAAGTTTCCCAAAAGTTAATAAAGTTATGGAAGCAAAAAATTGGTGACTCCATCCAAGGTGGCAGTGATAATTGCATAGTATCTGTAATTACCAATAGAGTGATCGAAGGCAACAAAGGCGACGATAGCAGCAAACTACCTAGTTGAGCCACAATTCGGTGGTTCTCATCATTGCTCAACAAAAAGGAGAGAAACTGGCTAAAGCATTTAGGGATACAGAAAATCCAGCATATAGTGTATATCCTCAAGATGAGCATCTATTAGTCTAGAGAAATAATCAAGAAACAAGGTAAATAAGAAAGAGGAGATCAGGCATCCTTGCCTAAGTTAGTAACGGAGGAAAATAACCATTTAGCTCTCCATTAATAATAACAGAGAAATGTACATTAGATATACAAGCAATTATCTAGTTAATAAAAGTTTGTGGAAACTTGTGTTGCTTCAGTCTTGAATAGAGAAATTGGGTATTAACCTTATCAAATGCCTTGCTAATATCAATTTTAGAGCAAAAAGTTCGGGGAGCTACTAGAATTGTAGCCATAGAGCTGTTCATTAGCAAGAATAACATTATCAGTAATGCCTCTATAAAAAAAAGAAATCACAATGAGTTGAATGAATGATTTTAGGCAACAGCATTTTGATCCTATTAGTAATAAGTTTTATAAGTACTTTGTATATGGTGTTGTAGTGGGAAATATGTATGTAGTTATGTAAACATTCAGTGTGAGAATTCTTTAGATTAAGATGATATTAAAACCATGTTCCAACTGAGATCTTATATCTGAAATTTATAAAAATGGAAGGCTTGGTTTGTCAATAATCCTCGAAATATTCAATTAACTATTCATGTCTCTCTTATAGTACCTTACCTTTCCATTATTCACTATGATACTTTATGCTCCTATTAAAATTCTTAAATTTTGATCATGATACCTTAACTCAAACTTGACTATGATTCTTATATTTGGATGAGTTTTATCTTAAAATAAATTCAATTTCTCTGGACACGTTCGGTGTCCGGACACAATAATCGCTCCAAATTTGGGTCAGTATATTAAGATTTTTTTTTTTTCCTTTTTATATCCTGTTGTGTAATATGATCAACAATTTCTGCAGGTAGGATCTGTATATAGTTCGTCTGATCAAGTTGACAGTTCAGATAAGGAAAATTTGCTGGAACAAGAAGATCCTTCTGCATCTTGAGTAGATGCCCCTGACTTAGTCTTATTTATTGCCTGTTCAACGGGTCTGGAGAACTATCATTTTTGGCTCACTAACATATTTTTTTATTCAGTAAATATAATCGAGTTTTTTTTAAGTGTAAAGGGTTTTTTGCTAATCTGAAATTAACACGGGATAAAAGAGAGAGAGAGAGAGAGAGAGAAAGCAATAAATTAGTCTCTTGTAAGTGATTCATGTATCCATTTACCCAGTTGGGATCTATTTGATGAAAATAAAATCCCTGTAAATTCAAACTTATTACAACTGAGTGTTTTATTCTTTGAATTTATTTTGAGATCTGTGAAATATAACTTTTGATTGATTGATTTTTTTTATTATATTTGATTAGAAATTTTATCTTGATCTAATGAGTCATGATATTTTGACCATATTTTCTGCAATTGTAATTGGATCTGCCTTCTGCAAATGTTATTAACTGAAGTATGCGATTTAGTACTTCGATTTATGTTAAAATATTGGTGCAAATGTTATGATTTTTTTGCCGCTTTTTAAAGTAGCTTTAGAGTATATAAATTTAATTTTTATATCAAAATTTTGTTTTAAAAAGCAATAAAAAAGTCGTCTTGAAGTCTAAATCATCCTAGCAATAATATTCAACTTAACTTGTTTGCACTTTGTGACTAAGGTTTTGTTAGAGACAGCTTTCTTATTGTTTCTTAAAGCTATTTTTTAATACAAAAATTAAATTTTTTTAACTTAAAAGCTGTTTTAAGAAGCAGTAATTATCAGATGCTACCCACCCACCATCATTCTCTTCATTTTGAAGAGGACGGTATGGAAATTGTTAAAATTTTAAATTTCTTCATTTGGTAGTTCAAATGAAGTGATAGTTAAAGTTAGTTTGGTACGGTTGCACTTTTTATAGATGTAGTTGTACTGATAAAAGTAACTTTTTTGAAAGTTGTTGTAGAAATTAACTTCTCAATGCAAAAATTTATTGAAAGCAATGAAATAGCAATAGTCAAAAAAACAAATTTTAAGAAATTTATCCCAAATAAAATCTTATCGAGCAAAGAGAAAGAGATATGATCAAATCTATTTTTTAAACTGTCTGAAAAAATTAATAGAAAAATATAAATTATTCCAAACCAAACTTAAGTGTGAACAATATTGATTATCGGATTGGCCTCCGGACACAACGGTACACAGTAAATTGGTGATGTGGCGCGTCCTGATTGACCTCCGAACTGTCTGCTGACCGTGCGTTATAATTTCGCTCTTCTTGAAGGGCTTTCTCGACATTTACATGTCATTAGTCTTGTAAATGTCTTTCCCTCCCTACTTTCTAAAAATTCTTTTTATTTATTATTAATCTCAAATCAAAGACAATAAAATTTAAGATCATCTAATTAATAAAAGGGAGTGTCATACATGTTAGAAAATTTTTATTTTGGCTATAAATATATTAAAAATCATATTAATATTAATTTATTTAAAAAACATCTTTTATACTAGAGATGATTATTTTCACTTTCATGGTCATTATTAAGAAAAAAAGGCATTCTTATAATAATAAATTTAAAAATTTTAATATTAAATAATAACTAAAAACACAAATATTTAAGATTTTGATATAGAAAAAAGTACTTTTCATATAATTGATGAGCATAAACTTAGATAATATTTAATATTTAATCAAATATGTTGAATTTGATTGCAATGAATGGGTTAAAGTAGAGCTTAGAGTCCAAAACCCAATGCTAAAGATTGGCTTGGAGTAGGGCTGCAAACGAGTCGAGTCAAGCTCAAGGTTTTGTTAGAGACGACTTTTTTATTGCTTCTTAAAGTTACTTTTTAGTACAAAAATTAAAATTTTTTTACTAAAAAGCTGTTTTAATAAGCAGTAAAAAATACGTCCCAAATGAAGCTTAAGTCTTTCATAATTTGGTTTGGGGTTATCATTATACGACCCCTGTAGATTTATTTTTGATCACCTAAATGCTCAACCTAATAATTAATAGTCATTAAAAAAAGAAAATTTTAATTCTATTTAATATTATCTACTCTAATATTATATATGTAATATGTATTAATTTAATCAATAGATTATCTCCTTAATTAATTAAAAAAAAGTAAGATGATAATAATGATTTTTATAGTCTGATATATTTTAATATTTATAATAATTATGCATATTATATAACATAATACATGTTGTGCTACACATAAAAACTAAGATAATATTATACAAGCACTCTTATTGCCCAATTTAGTGTAAGTTTTACCTTTTATAAATTATTTTTACTGCTAATCCTTCTTTCAAAGCTGCATAAATGCCCTGGTAATTAAATTAGTTTTCATTAAAATTTGTAAGATTTCGGAAACTAAAAAAAATTATAAAATATAGATAATTTGAGCATAGGTAGGCAGCAAACAAAGAGACTAAAATATCACTACAAAGATATATTACACATTTATTTATTTATTTACACTCATGATACTATATTTTACACATAACATATGCATATATTGATTAGCGCATGAAGGATCACAACACTTATTTTCCTCCACTTCCACCGCCATCACCATGATGGAGCTCAGAAAAATATCCTTGTGGGTCAGCTTCAAAACCTGCCCTTGAAATATAACCGCCATCACCTCCTGGTGCTTTCATCATTCCATCACTACCACCACCTTTGCCGCCAGAGGAGTAATGACCTCCACCCCCGCCTTTCCCGCCACCACCACCACTGCTGCCTTTGCCGCCACTACCACCACCGCCTTTGCCGCCACCACCCCCACCTTTACCGCCGCCACCACCACCGCCTTTGCCACCTCCACCACCACCTTTGCCTCCCATATTTTTCTAAGTGAATACAACTAATAGGGACCATAAGGTGCTATTTATAGATAGATTTGGCCAAATAAAAGCAAGATTGCATTCAAAGCTCTTGTTGCAGTTGATAACCATGACTTTATGAGCTTAACGAATGAAGTTAATTGGATACAATTATAATTGTTAATTAAGAATTATTACATAATTAAGTAACAAAGTGACTAATCAAGTACCATAAATAATCATATTATGAAAAATTAACTCATGACGGGCCCTTTCTTTTTTTTACGGTGACGCGTGTGAATGGCAAAGGGAGGGGGGCTCGGCTCGGCTCGGCAGAAAAGTTATCGCATTAATGAAATGTTTATTATATTTTTAGTCTTTTTATGCTGAAGTCCATAAGTTCTATTTTTCATTATGACACGCTAAAGTTCTTACAAGAAAATCAGAAAATTTATTTATATTAATTCATATAAATCCTATGTGAAAATAATTTAAGTAATTATGAGATTTAAACTTCTCCTATATTGTTAATTTATAAATGTTTGAAATATTATTCATCTCTTAAAAAAAAAATGAAATCATATTGTATTAGTTTTGATTTATCTTTATACTTAGGGGTGTCAATATTTGACACGACCCGAAAACTCGGCCTGAATCCGACCCAAAAATTTTGGTTTTGGGTCAACTCAAATCCAACCGGGTTCGGTTCAGATTAGGAATTTCAACCTGTTTGTTAAATCGGGTCGGATTTGGGTTGACCTAAAAACATGAAATCAACTCGATTTGACCTGTTATTAATTGATTTAGGAGGGTTTTAAAATATCGTTATGAAATAAGTAAATGTTATTTCTAAAAAATAATAAATCATGTTATTAACTTAATTAAGCATGATTTTTTTAAATTGATTGATGTAAATCTTATCTTAATTCAATTTAGTTTTAAATAAATCAAATTAAATAAAATTGTTTATTAAAACATAAAGGAAGCGGGTCGGATTTAGGTCCGAAAAACTGACACGTCCGTAAAAACGGTTCGTTTTCCTAAACCCTAAAAAGTGTCAGATCAGACTCTAATTCGACCCGAATCTGGCTCGACATCCGCTTTTGACAGACCTATATCTACCACTAAAAAGGTTCACTACATTAACTATACCACACTTTAGAATTTCATGAAATAAATTTCTTATAAATCATTTTTTTTTTTTTTTTGGCAGATTGAGCATTCTAATTTGGCCTATCATAATTTCTAAATTTATTTTCAAAGTACTATGAGTTCGCGCATATCAATCATTTTTGACTCACTAGAAGTGAAAGAAAAAAAAATGTAAAGAATTACAAGAAAAGTGTAATATACAAGAGATAACGATCAATCATTACAATGGCAAAATTAGCCTCTTTTTTAAGATGGGCAAAATAGGATATTTTGAGTGTTATCTTAGGGGCGAAATTATATATATATATATATA